TTTTCTTAAATTTTCCACTTTATTGTTTCACACGCTACTTAATTCAATTTAAATTGTACTTCGAAAATTTGCTTACCATGCTGGGATTCGAACCTAAGACTTCTGTTTCTTGGGTTGTTCACCTTACCTACTTCGCCAATGTCACTTTAACTGATAGACGATTTATATTATACATATGATACATCCATGTACGAAAACAAATGATTTATTTAAAAGTAGAGAATAGATCCTTTTAAATGTAAAAAGTATGTGTAACAAGTATGTAAAAAATATATTTAAAAAATATTTGTTTTAAAAGTAAGTAAAATACAAATAAATCACTTTGTAAATTTAAATAAATTTTTTTCTAATAACAAAAGAAACTTTAATTTGAAACAGAAAAAAGATACATTTAATATTTAGCAATTACTTATGGGATAACTGACACTTGTAAAAAATCTAATCATTAACTGCGATTCGTTACTGTCATGATTTTAATTACAGGTACACGCTACTCAAACCTCACGTAACGAATCCACAGAAATTTTTGTTGTTTGTCAATATTACATCGCTCCTGACAAATTGGATCCTAAATTTTTCGATCCAAAGTACGTGAATTAGAAATGCAAACTACAAACGCTTGTGACAACACAATGGGAGTTCTGCGAGAATATTGCACAGATATGAAAATACTTCGAAAGAAGTTAAAGCGTTTACTCAACGCTTTAGAAAACGCACAGTCGGAACGACGTGTCTAACTTTCTTCTTCGGTTTTTTCGGTAGTTTTCTTATACAGCCTAAATCAGACGAAAGATGAAAAATTAGATGAGATATCGAGATGGGATTAGACATTCAGATAACTTGTACTTACGCTTCCATTTGTGTGAACTACTTCCAGTCGCTAATGTCTGTCCTGTCCTTCAATTCCATTATTTTCTTTTTAGCCTTCTTAAGTTCGTAAATCACGCGATTATACCTTGCCTTATCTTTCATGAACGATTTGATATTTGTGTCTATCCTTGTCTAAGTAAATGCCCAGAATTTCACGTGTTCGGCGTGTGGGACTTCCAGGTTGTTTATTCTAATTGGTGCGCAAATTTGTCGTCTTGTCGTGAACGTAACATGGACCGACTTTGTCTCATTTACATTGATCTTTCAGTTTCTTGTCTAGGAAGATATTCTATCAAGGCTGGATTGAAGAATATTTGAAGCGACTATCGCATTTGAGTGAGATGCCATGACGGCAGTGTCGTCAATTGTTCCAACTGTTACTGCCTCGCTGGTAGATACATTTGCCGTAAATAGTAGGTACAGGGTTACCTGTAGGTTTACGAATAGAACATTTTTTTGTTGTTAGATATATGGTATAGACGCTGTGCCACTTTGGCATGTACATCCTCCGGACTGTCATTGTAATCAACTTGTACACGCACCGACGTTATCGCCGTCCGTATATCCGTGTGACTCGCACGCGTCACTCACACACTGCTGCCTATTGGTGCGGCACGAGCAGCACGTTGTGGCGGAGGGGACTAGTGGTATATGATCGTCGGACGCTTGGAGAGGGAATACTGGTGGGAGTCGCGGCAATCTTCCATCGTCTATCGCAGACGTAAAAGCGAGAAAGATAGCATTATAAGACGTCATGGACAGAAATGCCGTCCTAAAATACATGTAACGCACACTAAGAAAATTCACTGCTCGTCTATACGTGAGCAATATGCGGTGTCCCGACGACTGTTTCGCTCGCTCGAACGTCCATACATTTTTTCTTGTTAGCAAGGAAATTACTGTAATGTAAAAGGAGATCCTGGGGAAGGGTTTTCAGGAGGCTTCGACAAGTGCTTCTTAATAGCTGCTCTTGAAAAAAAAATATATTTATTTCAATATAGAATACTGAATCAATATAGAATACTGCTACAATATAGCGCTTGTATAGGTTGCCGAAGTAGAGTATTTTTAATTTTAGTGTTGTATAAACACGCGAGATAATTATTTTATATTTTATGCGTTCGAGTATCGTTCCATCGTTATAAAATTTGGTGGCCCTGAAAAAAGCCACTACATGTATGAGTGTTGAGTATGTATGAGTATCTAAAATATTAATTATGTATGTATGTATATCCTTTATTGTTCCCCATATGGGGTTACAAAGTCGCATTACAAATCTTTTCTACGCTACCCACACACACAAAATATTAATTATGTTCGATATATGATACAGATGTGAAATTCTGCTCCTTTGTTGCATACGTCTAACAACCTCTCATAATTAGCCTTGTACCTCGGTTTATATGACAGATAATGCGTACATAAGAATCCGAAAGAACCTATGCCATTTTATGGTACAGTGGCGCATGAAGATGACACACCTAATTTTAATGAGCAAGAAATATTTCCTATGAAATGGAGAACGAAATAATTGCACGACATGAACACGTTCGTCACGTTCATCGGCGGCGACGTTAAGCCCTATGTTGTATGAGTGTTGATAGAAAAAAATGTCTAAAACATGAATTATGTATGTAAGGCTTCCTAGTTGTCTAAAACATGAATTATGTATGTAAGGCTTCCTAGTTGTCGGCAGCGGCCGATACTCGTGATTTGGCAACTACCGTTTGCGTATCTCCCCTTTCTGCGAGAGGGCCGGAAAAAGAAGTCAATATGGCGATAACCGCGAGACGAGTAGGAAGTGTGGCCGTGTACTCGGAGTAAACAGAATAAAGTATACGATAGTGATCGTTTCAACTCTTTTAAATAAGTGGTCACTTATTAGTAGCTCCTTTCATAAGCTATATACTATAGACGTGAAGCTCTGTCCCTTAGCCACATACATCCAACTATCTATCATCGTAATTAATTTATATTACGTTTCGTATCACGGAAGTTGCATACATAAGATTCTGGAGTGAGCCTAAGCGGTTTTATGGTACTGTGGCGCATAAAGATAACATACTTAATTTTAATGAGCAAGAAATATTTTATATTAAATAGAGAACGAAATAATTGCACGACATGAACACGTTCGTCACGTTCATCGGTGGCGACGTTAAGCCCTACATGTTATATGAGTGTTGATAAAAAAAAAAAGATGTCTAAAATATTATGTTGCGGAAACGTGTCGACACTAAACAGCGCGGCTATCGTTACCGACGGAACACGCGGAAACTCAGGCACGGGTGGCGTTGAATGACGCTAAGTTAGAGAGAGTGGAGGCGCTAGAATAGAGCGGAAAGTGAGCTGCGCGAGAAGAAAGGGTGAGTCTCGCGAGCCGGGACGAAGGAAAGGATGAGTCAGAGAGTGAATGCAGGAACGAGCGAGTTGGGACAATAACGGCGGAGTAACGTTGAAGCGGAGTTGAAAAGAGAGCGATCAGCAGCTCGATAATTAATTATAGCATATTATATCATTTTTCTAATCACTTTATTTGTTATTAGACTTTGTTATGTACCTATTTTTTATATGTTACATTATTCTGTTATATGTTTAAACGAGTTTATTACGTAACATCTTAGGGCAGTAGAGGCTTCATTAAAAGGATAAATCATAAAAGTAGTTACGTGAAAGTTTAATGAAATTTACATTACATACACAGCGAAAATTGTCTAACTGTTCACGCATTAGAGAAGAGATAAAAAATCACGGCCGTGATTTGAACGCTTAATTAATATCACTTATAAAGTATCTATCAGTTATAAGAAATAAAGCAATATGAAAAGAAATTTTCAGACTATTGTAGGGTTTTAAAGGGTATATATTGTTGTGCTGTTAATTTGACTTTCGGGTGAATTGTCAAGGTAAAATGAAAGTTAATTTTATATTTTTTAATGGAACTCGAATTTTTTAAATATTTTTTCATTACAATTACATTGGGCAGTTACTATCACTGCTAACGTACTAAAGAAAGGCAGCCATATTGCGATTTTCACATCACATCACATCAATGAAGACAGGAACATTGTGAAACATATTGGAGATAAATAATGTTGAAACGAGATTGTAATTTCAAAGTAATAGTAGGCAGTAGAGAGTGTTGTTAAAAAATCGCAGATCACTAGTGACGCAACTGATAAAAATAGTTCGCTCAATACTAAATCGTTTGTAAATTTTTTGACGTTGAATTTAAATCCGAAAATCCGGTCGTCGCGGTGAAGCCGTATAATTTCCCATCCTGTGAACGAGAATACACGCGCGCCGATTTATATTCATAAATGCGACTCTGTGTCCGATTACTGAATCGCGAAAGTTAAATGGCGCTCTTCAGCGCGAGGAGCGTCGCTACGGTTACGTAGCAACTTTCGCCTGCTTTATGATGTTTCCGGAGTTGAGTTACAGTAAGGTTACAGAATCCGAGGCCATAAAAACTCGCGATGTTACTGCGTGTTGTCAAGAAAGGGTAGGAAAGAGGCGATACGATAAAGAGAACACTTTTTCTCGAAAAAGCTTGCAGCCCATTGGCTTTTGGTACAAGATGAAATATTCAAATTCAAAGAAAATACGTAAAATACCTGAAACATTTTCATTTATGACTCATATACGCGAGCAAGATTATGACGTGAAGCGTTTATTTACGGGTGAGGCATCGTTTCTGAGCATATTTTATTAATCAAGATACAATTCTCGCTCATACGAGAGCAAATTATATAGGGCGAGATACTTCAATGTCTAAATATATAAAAAATAAAGCAATATGAAAAGAAATGTTTCAGACGAAAATTGTAGGGTTTCAAAGGGTATGTATTGTTGTGCTGTTGGTTTGATTTTTCGGTGAAGTGTCATGGTGAAATGAAAGTCAACTTCATGTTTTTAATGGGAATTTTTTAAACACCTTTTTACTACAACAAACTACATTTATAACCCTTTCCATGACAAATTCAACGACAACATACTTAAGGGTATTGGAAGTCAAATAAGGAAAACAGAGTTTAAATTATTAAATGATAATTTTCAATTTATTAGTATTTATTTTATTAAATACTTTAAAAGATGAGTCTCAACTTCTGATGAGTTACACTTTTAAACACGTCCAATGAAAGGTAATTAAAGTATAGTCGATAAACATTTCAATGTTCTGAAAATTCTTTTACAACTTAATAAAATAAGAAACGTGATGGGGTATTTTCTTCAAGATACATAAATGATACACAGGAATAAAATGATTAGTATACTACTATATTCTATTACAACGAACTTAAACAAAATTTAATTTTCAACGAACAACATAGAGAACATGACTTTTATGTTGCTAAATAGGAAACGTGTTTTATAAACAATAATATAACTTACGATTTCTAATACATTCTTAAATTTCTAATACATTTTTAAATTTTAATACGATTTCTGTAACATGATAGTTATTTTGTTGCAGAGATGGCACGCAAAACAAAACTCAAGAAAAATTTCTACCCAGGAACAAAACTAAAAGCAAATGCTGTACATTTAGTCCCGCACCCAGTGCAAAACGAAAATAAATAATTAAAGTTTTGTATTGAGAATCGAAATTATATTGAAAAGAATTTTGTTTTTGCACTTGATATGAAACTAAATGCGTCTGTTGCGGATTGTACGCGGTCACCGCGTACGTACGAAGCGAATAGCTGTGCATGGTATTTCGTATGATGAATTCGT